AGTTGCACCTGAAACGTCCCATAGGATAGCATGCTGAGAGCCTCAGAGCTTTGCATGCCTCAGCAGCAACAGATCAGAGCCCTTGGCATGCCTTGTGCAGCACCTCCTAACAGCAGGCAGTGCCAAGGCAGAGTTTGAGATTCCCCTGCTCTGCCCTCCCCAGCTGCACACCACTGGCCTGCCCAGCTTGCCCAAGGGCATCCCACCAGGGCAGGCCCTGCACACTGCATTCCCTCCTCCCTGTCCATACGGTGGGTCAGGGAGGTGAAGGGCCCAGAGTGTGGGCAGCACTTGAGCAGGTTCCAGCTTTGACTGAGGCCCAAGCCAGAGGTTATCTCCAACATCCACCTTGAAATCTCTACCAAGGGACTTTCTGCCTTGTCTCCACCTTCTAGCAATCCCTGTCTTCCTCCTTCATGGGGCCCTGGGAGCAGGGATTGGAAATACCTGGTTGCAAAGGCTCCACCGACTCGGTGTTGAAAGTGGGCAGCTCTGGAATGGCACTGCTAGGGGCAGACGGTGCGATGCCGGGGCCCAGATCAGCACTGTACATGAGATCTGCAGCAATGCCAGGTAGGTCTGGCAGGTAGGATGGCACATCAATCTCAGGGACCTGGCCCAGATCTGGCACGTAGAAGTAATTTTCAGCCACCTAAAGGAAATGCAAACCAAAAAGATAAGGCAGTGACTACACACTTGCTTTCCCTTGCAGCAGTCAGGGGCACTGAAGGGAACAACCTGGGCGATGGTCAGAACTGGGCTTGTGTGTCTTGGTACAGCGGCTGCTCATCAGCTGCCCCCTGCAGACCAGACTTGGAAAAGGCAAACTGCAGGAGGATGAAGAGGTGCAGGACTCTTCTTAGTTTTCTGCAAGCGGAATCTATCCTCCCCTGAAGGTCTCAGGCACCAACTTTTGCAGCCTACATATGACAGTCTCTTCTCCTCCGGAAGAGAATGGTGCCTGAACCATTTCTGAGATGATTAAGATGCAGAAGCACAACCAAGTACTTAGAGGTTTGGTTTTGCACTTAACAACCAGGCAAAACAGTACTGAAGGTGCACTGTGAACTTAGGGTGCGGTTTGCTATACACACTGCTACCTCCTTTGGTACAACATGAGCAAACAGCTCCCAGGCTTCTTTCCCCAGCCCCAAACTACAAGTTCAACCACATGCCAGCCAAATTCTGGGTATGGCAACTACAAGGTGTTGGGGACAAAGTCAATCACATGCTGGGGCAGCAGGGCTGGTGCGCTGCCTGCCCCATGCCCACACCACACACAGCCTTTGCTCATGCTGGCTGGTCCTTCTGTTTGCACCAGCAGGTGCCCCTTCCCAATCTGAATGATGGTGCACAGGCCTCCTCCTAGGCACCTTCCAGCCACGGCACCTCACCTTCACACTCCCCATAAGGCTCAGGAGTTAACACAAGGGGTGGAGCCTTCAAAATCTTCTAGAGCCCTGAGATTGAGCAGCAAGGTGAACTGATATTACATGACTCTTCTCCCAACTCAGCAATTGCTTGAGCAGAGAGAAACACGTGTCAAGTTTGAGGGATGTGTGTCATCCATCAGGCCCACACTGACACTTAAAGCTCAAAAATGGGCAAGGTCCTTCTGACATGTGAGACACCATGCAGCCCTGTGAGGGGCGACACTCCTACCGAAGCCCTCTCAGAGATCTGAGTGCAATCCACTGAAGGGGAAGCAGCTGCATCCCCAGAGCTCTGTCTCACCTGTCGGTCCAGCTGTCCCCTTTTGGTGATGGAGAGAGGAGCATCAAAAAGCTTCTCTTCCGTTTCTGTCTCCAAAGCCACATGGGTCTTGGTCACTGCTCCAGCCAGAGGATCCAGGAAAACGTACTTCTTGTACCTAAGGGTAGAGGACAAGTATTTCCTTGATGCTGCTTTGAGAGCCAAGGCCAGAAGAAACAGCACACACAAGGCAGCCTTGCCGGTTGAGACCTCCCAACTCACTCACACAGGCAGAACATTTTGGTTTCCTTCTTCTAGCCCATTTTCCTGCCTTTCTCCCTCCACAACTAGGAGGTGATCGGCTCCTCACCCTGCCAGTGCAGCCTCCACATTTATCCTAGAGTAAAGCCCTACTGCACTGCTGTCACACGAAGCTTGCCCTCTTCCACTACCAGGCCTGAGATGGTGCTAAAACCTGCAGCAAGACACAAGCCTCTCCTGGTGACTTGTCATTCAAGAAGCGGGAGGAAAGATAAAGAGGGAGAATAATCTGCAGCTCAGGGGAAGAAAGAGGAGATCCAGCATCTGAAAGTTGAAGAACAGCTTAAAGAAGCTCTTCAGTACGGGCAGAAGGAGGAAGCATGAGGCAAGGCCCAAGGGGAAAGGGAACTGCAGCGAGAGGCACTGAAGACATTAAAGCAGCAACAGCAGTGAAGTATTGCTGTGAGGAACCATCAGGAGAAGGAGCAGAACCTAGGCAGGCACATGGGGCAGAGAAGAACAGAAGGTACAGCAGCTCTCAAGGCCAGAGAGAAATTATTACAGGGAGATGACAGGAAAAACTAAGTTGGGGAGGAAGAGCAAAGCTGGGTCAAAAGCAGGTGAGTGGAGGATGAGGTGCAGACAAAACAACTCCTTCCACCCCAGGGGAAGAGTAGGGAAGAAAGGGTTGCTAGCTGGAAGCCAGTAGAGAAGTACCAAACCCTGTCCTATGAGGAGCCTGGTGTGTACGACCTCCAGGAAAGCAAGCAGTTACTGCTGCCCCCCGGGAAGGGAAACCTCCTCTGAGGACAAGCAGGGGCAGGTGATCAGCACTGCACTGCCCCAGCTCTCACAGGTTCTCGGTGGTGTTGAAGAGCAGCAGGGAGCTGAGGGAGCTGATGTTCCTGGGGAGGCTGCCAAGGCCTTCTTCTGCATCATCCTCCTGGTGAATTTTGGTGCTCAAACACACAGGGAAGTACTTGAGCTTCTCCTGTAAGAAGAGAGATAACAGGTGGTAAGAGACTAAAATCGCAGCTGCTGAGAGCTCTCCCCAGCCACCACAGCCCACACTGCTGGATCCACCACATGGTCTGGGAACCCTCTCCACCTCCCTTTGAGCAAGGAAGCACATAGACAACAGTGTAACCCCATGCTCATGACAAATCTCAGCAGTTAAGACTCAGGGCATGTGCTTTTGGTGCCATGGATGGGTCGTACTGAACAGGTATCACTGTGGCAAGGATCCATCAAAATTACTCCAGCTCTATAGGCAGAGGCAGGGATCAAGCACTGCAGTCTGAAAGGCATTTGTTACAGGGTCTCCAACTACTAGACATTTTCATGCAGGCAGAGTCCCCCAAACAACTCTGTTACCTCCCCTCTGCTGCCTTCTCTTTTTAAGAGATGCGATCCCACCGGTGGGGTATGCAGGGAAGGCAAAGGAAAAAGAGGTTAGGAAAAAACAAGAGTGCCTGCACCAGGCAAGAGATCAGGCAGAAGGGAGTGCGCAGGGGTGGAACATGTGCCAGATGGTCTTGCAAAGCCTGAGGGATTTGCAGGAGTTTTCAATTCTAATGAACTGAAATCTCCTCTCTCTCGGTTCTAAAACTTCATGCATAATATATAGAGCTCCCTTTAGAAAAGGACTTATTACATCTGAACTGCTTGACTTTTATATAGAACAGGAATTGCCATCCCAGATCAGACCAGTGCTTCAGCTAGCGTGACAGTGCCTGCCGCCAGATGCTTAGGGGGGGATGAAGCTCAGTGCCCACAGCACAACTTTGCTGTGGAGGGAGAAAAGACATCAGTTCCTGAATCCAGAGACAGTCTGGGATGGAGAAATCTTCTCCTCCCCAGACTCCTCCCCACACCTTTCCCCAGCCCCTTCATAACTCCTGTTCTTTCTTCATAAACTAGGACAAGCAGCAGCCCGGCAGCTGCAAAGCGGTGAGTGTTCGTACCAGAAGAAACCAGAGCACTAAGAGGGACAGTTTGTCAGGTTAAACAATTGGCCACACTCTTGTGGTTTCCTTCTGCCACGAGAAGATGACCACTTCAAACAGTGTCCATGGTCTCCTAACTGCCTCGCTACTTCCAGCTTCCCTGCTCTGTCCCGTTTTCCAAATCCTTCTTCTCTCCTTGTACTTGCATGGAGGAAATGCAGACCACTGTTTGTTCAGTTTTAAGACCACATCTCAGGGACATAAGCAGTTTCTGCTGATTGAAATTTCAGGCTTGAATGTGGTAGCCAGAAATCCTGGGAAATGGCTTAGTCACAGCTCAGTTAATCCACTAAGAGTTCGTATGATGCTCTGAGCCTTTAAAATGCTGTAAGAAAAGACCTAGGAGGTTTTTGATTCAAATGTTGTGGGTTTTTTTTCCCCTTCAAATAACACGTTCCAAGTTGCGAAACATACACTGAAATAAACATCCTGAATTTTTACAGCGGCAAGAAAGCAAAAATACATAAATTGTTATTTAGAGGCCCTAGAAATAAAGGTTCTTTTGATCATTAATATTCATTTCCTAATGTTTAATTTTTTAAGCATGAGGGAGTACTGATGTTTCTGCTAGAACTGTTCACACACTTAGCCCTCAAGTAAATTATTTTTTTTTTAATTCTCTCTTTGCAGATTTCAATTAGCACTGGAAAACTGTGCGTCACTTTAAAGGCGGAGTGAGAAATCAACCATTACGTACATTTACTTTTAAGTCTCCTCTAAGGCACTAAAAGCACTAAGCGTGAGTATTACTCTGAAATGTGAGGCGCTACATAATCCTTTTAATTTAAATGTCACCAAAGTACTAGTCTTATTCAAGTTTTGAAATTTAGAACAGCCACTTGATGTCAATAATATCCTGCAACTGTGAATTCCACAAGTTAACATGCCATTTAAAAATAAGTTTTCTTATAAGAACATTAAGGCTTAAGCCAAAGGTTCAGCAACCTCAATGTATTGAAGTCATGGGGGGCATCTGAATGCTCAAGCCTGGAGTTTGGCACCAACTTGGTTGGTTGGCACCAACCCCTCAATCTGGGGTTTGGCACCCTGCAGGATCACACCTCTATGGATGCTGCATTTCCAGGCATTTTTCTCCCTAACAGCCTACACTTAGAATATATAAAGCCACCCTGGGTCTTAAGTTTAATTAAACACACACTCTTACAACAGGAATTGGGTTGATACACCAGAAACCCCACTCCCTCTATGCCAATGGCTGAGGCCAGCTGGAAAAGTACCTGAAGATGAGCAAGGGGCAAAAATCCAGTCCAGCCTCATCATGCCCATGGTGGAGGCAGAATTCACAAGGACTTGCCAAGTTACTGACATTTTTTAAGCCTCACAATGCTACTCCAGCAGTGAACTGTAACTTTTGCTTGGACCTCTTCCCAAGCCCAGATAGACCACGTCTTCCACCTTGTTTTCCAGTCTCCTGAGGGGCACTTGAAGCAGCTGGAGACAGGTCTCCCTGTAAAGGCAGTGCCCAGCACCTGAGAAGGCCCAGAAGCAGCTGACTCACTGTTCAACCCTACCTAGCTGCTACCACAGCAACCTGCAAAGCAAGCGGCTTTCCAGGCTCTTACCACAAGGACCCTGCTTCTGGCATCGTTATCCACCAGTGCTTACCTTACCAACTCAAACAGTGTCGTTTCCACAGCAGAGTTTTCGCTTGTGTGGAGTGGGGAGGGAAGGAAAATTTCCCAGGAGGGAAGCATCAAATCTAACTGCAGAACCGTGCACATTTCCAACTCGGCTGCTTCCCCGCCCCGAGCACAAACCCTGAGCGCAGAGCACAGGCTGCCACCACTTACCCTCAAACTGACAGGAGCAAAGCTTGCTTTCCTGGTGGGGTGTACGCAAGTGAAGTTAGTAAAGGCCACTGTGACTGCTCCCAGCAAAGAGGCCCTCATTAGAAGTGAAAACAGGCAGCGAGCCTCTGCTGAAAGCCCTGAATAATTGAGGAGGGCATAAATGCAAACATTAGACTTCCCTCTGTCACATTTCATTACTACAAGGCACATTGGGCTCCATGCTCAGCTATGGCCGAGAAGGGCCTGTCCCCCCAGAACGTGGTCAGAGCTTGGCTGCACCGAGCCCCACTCAGCACACCAGCTGCTCCCGGCACAGGCCCCTCCGTCGTTCTTCAGCCTACAGGCGCTCACCAGCACAGCAGCGTCCCCGCAGAAGAGCTGCAGGAGCGAGTGTCTGTGAGCTCAGTGTGAGTAACGAGACCGCTGCATACAGCAGGGGCAGCAAAGTCAGTGGACAATCAATGACCCAAAGGAGGATGGAAAGATGGGTCACGGGAAGGGAGGGGGAACAAATACAAACGTCCCCCGGGGCCTGCAACAAAGTCCCTGTGGTGATGGCAGCCTTGGTCATGAAAGGCAGAACACAGCAATGGTGCTGAGACTGCCTGGGACAGCGAGGAGGTGGCCCCGCAGGCAGGTGGCAGGGCTGTGAGGCCAGTAGGCTGGTCGGGTGGGCACACCATTTGCTCTTTGCAGCACACTGCTTTTTATCAGCCGGTGCTCTTCTCATTTTCCTGCCCTGTGTGAGGGTCTGTATATCAGCACCAACCCTTCAGAGTGGGAGAGCATCTCCCCTGCTCACTCATCACTCACCTCTGCTCCCCTGCCACGGTGTGATGAGATGGGGCCACCAGGTGGGCAGCACGACCGTAACCACCAGTCAGCAGCAGGTCCCACACAGCTCTGCCCTGCGCTGCTGCCAGGGCTCGAAGGAAGCAAAACCTCTGTCCCTTCGGCCAGCAGCCCTGCTTCCCTGGCCTGGTTGAAATATTCATAACCACCTTACTGTGTGAGGTCTGAACTCCATGAAAACTCAGGAAAGTTTAGAGCAGTAAATTATTCAGTGGCAGCATTATTTTTGGGCCAAGCCACATGAGGATGAGGAAGGAAGTCTCTTTAGGGTCAGAGAGCAGGGAAGTTGTCAGGTTGATCCTTAACCTGCCAGGGAGAGCGCATCTGCTTCTGCTGGCAGAGTGCATACACAGCAACTTTTAAACTTTAAGCACAGCAACTCTTCATCCTCTCCTTCCACCCTGGGAATGTTAACCTAAATTGTTAGAGAATCCTTTCATAGCATTTCCTGCCAAACCCACCACTTCTCAGACCTCCCTAAAAAGCCCCTCTCTGCCACTCAATTCACAGGCCAAAAGTGAACTTGGTACTTCAGGATCTTGTTCAACACCACCAGCTGCTGACATCTATGCTATGGGCACACCTGGAAGCCCCAGCTGTGCTGGGTACTGAGAGATTCAGCCCCTCTGAAGGGCTCGCAACCTACAATAGCTGAACATAAGGCAAAGGAGAAGCAAAGAACAAAAGACGTAAAGAAGCAAAATGATCTTCACTCCCAAAATGGAAAACTTACCTGGGAACCAGAGAAGACCGATACCCAAGAGCAATGCTTTCTTGGGACAGAAAAATGCTCTAATGACTCCTTTTTTCTCTCAACACACTCACAAGCACTTTTATCTTTCTCTTCTCACCATCGCTTATACTAGAGCCTTCAGAAATCATTTTTCAAACAATTGCGACACTGATCCCAGCTGTCTTGCTATGCACAGCCAAAGCCTCAAGCTCTGCCAGCAGCACCCACCAGTGCTGCTGCAGGGAACAGCAGCGTTTCAGGAAAAGGAACTGCTCCGGAGAGCTGGCAGCTGACAGCCACCCAGAGCACTCAGTCACCCAGCCAAGGTCTTGTCCTGCACTTCTCAAACCAGTAGCTCCACAAGCTTTCCAGCATGACCTCACACACTCCCACCAACAGGCCAAACTGAAAAGACCTTCTGTTCTCAGCCTATATCCTAAAGCCTTGGTGTACTTTATCAAAGAGACTAACAGCCTCTCAGATTCTCTTGGTTTGCTCATCTCGAGGTCTGTTCTCCTCCTCCTTACCTGCAGAGCTTTATCATCCAGCACTCGGTGTTTGCTCTGAATCTTGTGTCTTGGCCATTTCTCTTTAGCTGGGTCTTCTGCACCAGCAAAAATGGAACTGTACTCCTGCAGCCGCTCAGGGGCTGGATACTTGGCACTGGAAAATACCTGTGAAGAGAAAAAGAGGGACTGAAAAATCCCAACACCTAAGCAATCCAAATTCCACTACAGAAACACATGGACTGGAGTAAGCACACAGTCTGTGCTGCTGGTGGGAATGGAGTGCCTCAGAGTCAACAGGCTCCTAAGGGCTACCTGCACAGACTCAATCATGCGGAAGCTGTCACTTCCGAAAATGACAGAACTTGTCTCGGTATGAGTACTAGGAGATCATAAGCATTCACTGGCAGGAAGGGAATTTGGAAAACTGTATTAAATGGAGGCAGAACGAGGAAAGAAGGGTTTTCCTCAGTTTTACACAGCTCAATAAGATTAAGATGCACAAGAGGAGGCTCTCTAACAGCAGCTTTCATTCAAACAGCTAAAAATGTCCATGAGACTAAAGTGTCAGGTGCTGCTCAGCACATGCCTTTTCTCTTTCTCAGGGAGAAGCTGGGGCAGTGACTTACATAGGTCTCATAAGGACAGGAGCTGTGGCGTTCATGGATCTAAAAATCAACTGGATGAGTCGGGAAGGGGATTCTTATCACCGCCCTGCTCAGCAGCAACGCATCGAGAGGTGAGCAGGAAGTAGATGCGGCAGCTGAGCACCTGTACTTCTTCAGAACTTATGCTAGGAGTAAAGACAGAAGGTGGAAGGAAGAAGGGAGGCCAGTCAGCCTTCACTGAAGTCACTACCTTAATGGCCTTCTTGCTGCCTTTTATCTTCTCAATCTTCGCTTGGGCAAGCGTGACTCTCTCACCAATCGCCTGAAGCTGTGCCCGGCTGGCCTCCACCCGCTGCGAGATCCTAGGAGGCAAGCACCTTTCTTAAGATAAAGAATCCAGAGCCTGAGATTTTTTGGCAACGGTCAGCGCCCAGGCACTTAGCCTGGGCACTGAATCTCGGTGGACTGGATTATTTCACAGGGCAAAAGAATGCTGGCTGAGCTATGCTTGTCTCGGTCCCACTGAAGGCTTTAAGAACTCCAGCATGAAGGCAGGTCTCGTCCATGACTCACAGTGCAACGTTCCCACATCTGTCTGAGGCACAGGACAGAAAGATGGAGAACTGCAGCTTTTTTGCAACATTAGAGCGCCACGAGCCATACGCCTCTCTGCTGACAAGAAAGCCACAGCCAGTTATCAACTGCCAGCATATTTTTAACAAAAACGACTTGTTAAAAATGAAAGGCAATATATGCTAGTGAGCAGAATTCAGAGCTCACAAGGATTATCCTGTCCTCTCCTACACTGGCAGTTTGTTGCAGAGCTTCTTCCATGTTGCTTTGCAACTTGTTTTCCACATCAGCTAAGCAACATTAGGTACTCATTAGGAGCAATAAAGCATGCTAACTTGTCGAACTTTTGCATAACTCGATGTGCTGCTGGTTTTGGCTGGGGTAGAGTTGATTTTCTCCATAGTAGCTAGTATGGGTGATGCTTTGGATTTGTGCTGAAAACAGTGTTGATAATACAGAATTGTTTTTGTTACTGCTAAGCGGGGCTCACACAGTGTCAAGAATATTTCTGTTCCTCACCCCACTCCACCAGCGAGTGAGCTGGGGCTGCACAAGAAATTGGGAGGGGACACAGCTGGGACAGTTGACCCCAACTGACCAAAGACATATTCCATACCGTATGATGTCATGCTCAGCATATAAACTAGGGGGAAAGCTGGCTGGGGGCTGCTGTTCAGGGACTTGCTGGGCATCAGTTTGTTCGTGGTGAGCAATTGTTTTTCATTTGCATCACTTATCTTTCCTGGAGTTTACTTCTTTGGCTTTTTTTTTGTTATTTTCATTACAAATTATTTCTGTTGTAGTTATTTAAATTATTAAACTGCTCTTATCTCAACCCATGAGTTTTCCCACTTTTACCCTTCCAATTCTTTTCCTCTCTATCACGTTAGGAGGGGAGCAAGTGAGCAGCTGTATGCTGCTTAGTTGCCAGTTGGGGTTAAACCCTGACACTAGATCAGTTATCAAAATGCTTTGGGACTGAGGTGAAAAGCACTCTGAGACAGCAGGAGATAGTGGTCACTGATTAAATACTCACGTGTTCACCACGTGGACATACTCCCATGCTTTTTCTCCCCACAATATCCATATAATTCCTTTTAGGAACAAACTTGACATCAGGAGTGATCTAGGATTCCCATTTTCAAACTGTACCAAACCCATCTCTTCAAGTATTTCCACTCTGTGCAGCACATTCCCAGAAATGGACTCTACTAAAGCCCCTCCATTGTAGGCAGTGAAAAAACAGCCAGTACAAGCTGTATATTCACCTTGTGTCCTCCTTCCCCTCTACTCTGCCCTGGTGAGGCCACATCTGGAATCTTGTGTCCAGTTCTGGGCCCCTCAGTTCAAGAGAGACAGGGAACTGCTTGAGAGAGCCCAGTGCAGAGCCACAAAGATGATGAAGGGAGTGGAACATCTCCCTGATGAGGAAAGGCTGAAGGAGCTGGGTCTCTTCAGCTTGGGGAAGAGGAGGCTGAGGGGTGACCTCATTAATGTTTATAAATATGTCAAGGGTGAGTGTCAGGAGGACGGAGCCAGGCTCTTTTCAGCGGCGTCCAATGCCAGGACATGGGGCAATGGGATCAAGCTGGAACATAGGAGGTTCCACAAAAATATTAGAAAAAACTTTTTCACTATGGCGGCGACAGAGCACTGGCACAGGCTGCCCAGGGAGAGAAGTTGTGGAGTCTCCTTCTTTGGAGACATTGAAAACCTGCCTGGACGCCTTCCTGTGTTACCTACTGTAGGTGATCCTGCTCTGGCAGAGGGTTTGGACTAGATGATCTTTTGAGGTCCCTTCCAACCCCTGACATTCTGTGATTCTGAAAAAAACCCGCTTCTTTCTCTAAATAGCTTTAAGTGTTTCTGTTTATAGCCATGCTCCCCTCTTCTTGGAAGCTTGAAAATCCTTCCTCACACATATGGCAGGAGAGCACACAGTCTGTTTCTACTTTATTATTTTTGGAGTGGAAGATGAGCAAAAGTGAACCTCACAAGAGTCTCCCTCTTGGAATTACTCTCCCATTTCCCCATCCTTTTATTTTAAACGCAGCATAACAGCTTGTATTTTGTACCAACACTAAGTACAAATCTGTTCATGGACTTCCTTCCCACACCCTCCCTCTCTCAGTGGAGCAAGTCCGTTATCACTTATATACTTGGTAGGTTCTCAGAGTAGTTTCTGTTGTTCCTTTCAGTGCACATTTCCTAGCACCTGTCTGCAGCAAATTTCATGTGTCATAGGGCTGTCCCATTGCCTTGTTTTGTTAAAGTGCGAGATGCCTCTGAAGAACCTTACTGCCCTCCCCATCACATTCTCCACCCTCACAGTTCACCTCTTTTCTAGATGTTTCGTAATTGTATTGATTGACACTGTTTCCAGTGCTGTTCCTGGGGCCATCAGACTATTTTTACTTCTTTCAAAGCCGAAAAAAATTGGTCGCTTATTTCTGCTTTGCCACTCTCTCTCAAATCAATGATGCAATTTTCCCTCTCACCTGTGAGTAGACCCCTCTCTTGGAAGAACCCAACAAAGCATAAAAGCAAGGTATCAACTGCCTTTAGCCAGTGCCCCACTGAATCCGAGGCACAATTCTCAAGGCCTGACAAGGTACATCGTTCTCTCCTAGAAGGAAGTGTTAAGCAGGTAGTTAGGCAAGCTCAGGCCTGGCAACCAGTAACTGTTCTCCTCCCTTTCACTCCATGAATGTGAGTGGGTCAAGTGAGTTGGTCAAATGCCTCTTTCTCCCCACATTATCCCCAATGTTTCACCAGGTGTCAACCTCTACCACTCCCTTCCCACACTTGCTCTTTCACCAGCTGTGAGGAAGCTCAGCCACCATTAGCATTCACCCATAGCCACTTCCACATTTAACATTCACCCTCTCAAACACCCAGTTCAGAAAATGAATGATGCCATAACTTTCTTTATGCCCCCCTGAAAAACAGGCAGCAAAACGGGTGTTACAAAGTGCTTCTTGGTGCAAGAGCAGAGCATGGGCAGCACCAGGGGAAGAACAGAAAACAAAGCACCTCTCAGCCCAGAGCTCTGTGTACATCTGTCTCATTTAAGGTCTGCTGGATCCTCTCTTAAATAGGAAGCAGCCCTCAAAACAGAACATGACTGGCAGTTACTGTGCCCTAGCTGCAACAGCACATCCAGAAGGGAAAGCGGGAAGACATCTATAGCTTCATCCATCCCTATCGCCCACCAAATGTAACCAAGAGGGATTATATTCACCCTTAAAAGGACAGTACCAGGCAGACAGCAGGCTCCCAGCACAGGCTGTGGAAGTTGTCCAGTGCCAGCTCAGGTGTTTCAAACCATGATGGCTCTTTCTCTGAGGCATCCCATACTTTGTCCTGTGACCTCCTGCTCTAGGATTTCACAGGCCAAATCCTACCAACCTTAGGAGATGTCCCAAAAACATTCACCTGAGGTGGTACAGATGCAGGTCCACAATACAGAAGGAACACACACTAGTCTACAGAATTAATTTATATGTTGCTGAGCGAGAAAACAATGAAAAAAATTACTAAACCCAGTCAATCCGAGTTCTGGCACATGTACAGCCTCCCAGAAGTGCATGACTTATACATGTAGAGTTCAAGACACAGTTACATGTGTTAAAGGAAACAATACAACATACTGATACTGAAAAAATACATGGGGGAAAAATAAGCGCCTCATGTTCATGTGTCCTCCAGCAACTTTTCTGCTGCTGCTGCTGTGGAAACCAAACTCACTGCAACGAGTCAAATAGCATTTGTAAAGAAAGTAAACAGGAAGGGATGGAAGGGGCTGTTGCCAAGGATTTCAGGGACGAAGTGTTTGGTGGCGTTCAGACCTCAAGCTCCATTTAAGAAGGAGTATGTTAGTGAGTGGAATTTCTCTGAAAGGCAATTGCAATCAGCACAGGAGGGGTAAGCGTTAATAAAACGTGCCATTACCACCCCTCACAACTCCACACTCAGACAGCCAAAACCACCATCAGCATCTGAACCTGCCCCTCGCCTATGCCATTAGCCACTGCTGTGTTATTTTGCTCCCTGAGCTCTTTTCTGCTTGAGAGACCCCTTTAGTCAGATTTAATGTGACTTCAGAGTCGCAAAGAAGCAGGAGGCGTACAGCGCCGGCCCCTCCCTTTGGGCAGGATGAATGCTTCAGGGCAAGCGAAAAGGGGGCCTGAGGGAAAAAGAACGTATCACCTGCCTTCAAATCCTGGGCACTGAGCCAAATCAACCTTCCCCTCCCAATGCTTCTCTTCGGGGAAGTAATACATGTAGCAGATTAAATCTATCTAGTGGATTATCTCTTAATCCACACAGACTTATATTTTTGATCTAAGCAGATATTAAAGCCAATCTTTCAACTGCTTTGACCCAAACTCTTGCATTCTCTTGTCCCTCTGAAATCTTTGTGCAGTCAAGCCCCCCGTGCCTCACCCTCAACTTAGATCTGATTTCTCCTTTCTCCTAAAGCCCTTACCCTGCTGCCTCAAACTTCTCTCCATTTGAAAGGCAACTCTCTCCAACAGCTGGTCCCAGGAATAATTCGTCCCAGCTCCCTGCCTCCCTCACTGGTCCCCTATGTTCTGCCCCACCTGCAGCCATGGAGCAAATCACTTCTTGTTGTTTTCTTATAACCCCTCTGATAAATCTCACGTTCAGGTGTTCATCAAAAGACACTCTCTGCCACACCTGTGCCTGCATGTGGAGGAAAAATTACTGTTATATAATAAAATATTTTGGGCATTGGGAATCAGGCATCTAGGACACTGGACACTGC